ATTGATAATAAAGCTCACCAGACTACATTATGTCAAGTTGTTGAGATCAAAATGGGCACAGACAGCAAGATAGTAAAGATTAACAAAGTATTTCCAACCCAATAGAAAGACTAGTGATACATAAGACTAGAATTGTATCTATGTCTGTGATCTTGCAGTGTTTTACCAAACATTATACTCAGAACTAATGATCCCCAAGCAGTGCCTAGATGGCAAAGAGAAAACTGCAAAAGTATTGTGAACAAGCTAAGGCCAGGACAATAGATTGTTCATGTGTGAAAAATGTGACAGTACCTTACACCTATCTGTTTACTGCCAAGTTTCACATTTCAGACCACAATCTTTTACTAAATGGGACAAACCATTACACACCTCGGAAAGATACACCACTGTGATTCAAACAAGATAAAAATCAATAGTAGAATGGCTTTTTTTAATCACATTATTAAATTGTGAAAGAAGAGACAGAGCAATAACCAGTAACCACACATTCATCTTCGACACTACATACATACCACAAATTACAAAAAGTACAAAAGTGCCACCAATAGTGGTGTTACCGACAATTTCTTTTTAACTTTGCATTTCAACTAAGAGGTACTTATTCTTGCAAATTTTATTTAATGCAAAACAATAGTTAACCAAAACTTGTGAAGTCCTGTTGCTTAATTTTGATGTACTGCCAACTTTGGATGAACAAAGGCACCTTTGTACTATTCAATTATGCCTTTGCAAATTTTTCCATAATGAGAACTGGGATTTAATGAAGATTGAACTTTGATCTTTAAATAACAAGTAACTGATTGTATCACCAGTCTCATAGTTCAGATCATTTTTAGCGAAATTGGTATGCAAAACCCAAAGCAGAAGTTGCAGAATTTCAGTACTTCAGTGCTCCTGTAACTCAATGTACTCTATAACCATCTGCTGGATTAGAATATTCCCATTTTAAGATTTCCTTTCTTGATGCTTTAAGAATCATCAAATCCAATGACCTGATATAAACCTGATCAGTTTCATAACAGATAAGACAGATAAAAGAGCCCTAGAGATAAACAGATAGGCACGAAAGCCATAAAAATTGCCTCCATAAGGCTTCCAATTTTGATGTCACATTTTGAAAATATTCACACTTCCGGCACCATCAGATGTTTATCTAAGTGTGATGAATTCTCTCAGAACTAGCTGGTATCTTTCTCTGAGAGTGCAAAAGAAAGCATTCTTTGCAGCCAGATGATTGGGTATAACAAAGGAAATAACCAAGAAGAATCATGCCCTCACCTTGTGTATCCACTTATTAGTACCTGTGCTTGGCACCTCGCCTGAAATAGGATAAAAGGTGATCTCAGTCACGGTGATGTGTGTGTGTGTGTGAGAAATTGTTGGTGGGGTGGGGGCACACCTTGAGAACCTATTTCACTGTCTTTGGTCAGATGGCATGGAAGGAATGGTTGACACAGGGTAAACAACTGAGACCTAGAAATAAAATATAATAGTGGCAGCACATTGTAACATGTTAATCATGTTTACCTGGAGCGGCACGGTGGCTAGCACTGCTGCCTCACTGTGCCAGGGACCCGGGTTTGATTCCAGGCTCGGGCGACCGTCTGTGTGGAGTTTGCACATTCTCCCAGTGTCTGCGTGGGTTTCCTCCCACAGTCCAAAGATGTGCAGGTTAGGTGGATTAGCCATGCTAAATTGCCCGTAGTGCTCAGGGATGTGTAGATTAGGTGGGTTACAAGGGGATGGGCATGGATAGGATGCTCTAAGGTTCGGTGCGGACTTGTTGTTGGGCCGAAGGGCCTGTTTCCACACTGTAGGGATTCTATGACTAAAAAACATGATTCTGGCTATGTTCCTGCTTCAGGACCATGACAAAATAAACTGACCCTGCATTCATTTTACACAATAGGACAGTTATGTAATATGCTGACTGGACATATTGATTTTTTTCAATGTTCTCCAAACCTATTAATTGTATATAGTTACTTTTGTCAAATGGCTAACTGCCATTCCACTTACAAACTAGAAATCATTAATCGATTAGTTCCTGGAAACTGAACAGCAAGCAAAACAACAAGGCAGGGTTGTGCATTCCAGAAACAGTGCAAACATGCTATATTTGTGAGAAAAATCACCTATTACAAATCAAAAAGTTTGTTGTAAACTCTTCAGTAATTCCAGGATGAATTAAAATTTAAACAGCTTCCAATGTCCTACATTTCTCAGAGATCGTAGGAACTGCAGATGCTGGAGATTCTGAGACAACAAGGTGCAGAGCTGGATGAACACAGCAGGCCAAGCAGCATCATAGGAGCAGAAAGCCTTCTGATGAAGGGTCTAGGCCCGAAATGTCAGCCTTTCTGCTCCTATGATGCTGCTTGGCCTGCTGTGTTTATCCAGCTCTGCACCTTGTTGTCTCCTACATTTCTCCACAGCTTTGTGTCTTCCATTACCTCAACTATCTTCCCTTGAAATGAGATATGGATTCTGCATCAGCCATTCTGTGCTAAAACATTCTCCTAACATCATGATATTAGACTCTGAGATGGAAAACTATTGGTCTGGAACATTAAACTTTTATTTTCGAAGCAGCCTGGACTATTGAATTGTAGTAATCGGAAACAAGTGGATCCATTGACTACGAGATCCTTGATTGAGGTTATTAACCTCGGCCAATCAGGAAGCCCTGGGTGACCAACATAAACAGGAGATTCACAATCCCCTCAGTTCAGGGGATTAACTCAGAGCTGGCTGGTCTCAGCCAGTGTACTGGGCACATGTAAATAAAGGGTGACTTGGTGACGAGATAACGGCCTCTGTGCACTTATTTCATGAATATTTACATAATTTTCTATTTTTGCTTTAGATTTTCAGTATTGTCCGAACCCTTCTCCTCAAGCTCTTTTCAATTTTAATTTCAAATTAATGAAACTATATCACCTACACTACAAAAACAGAGGTTAACTTTTGGCATTCACTGTATCAAAATGCTCATAATGTTAAAACCTCAATTAAATTTTCCCTTAGCCTTCTCAGTTCCAACAAGAAATTGAATTGATACATTCTCCACAACAAAGAAAACCATTCCAATTTCTATACAGATGAATAATCAAGGAAATGGATTCAGAGCCTACAGGGGATTTTAGGACAGGTAACCAAAAGCCTGTTCAATGAGATTAAGAATAATTTTAACATTTATGATCTTAAATCAGGAGAATAGTTTTGGATCATGAAGGGAACAGAGGTATCATCTACAGTTCCCCATAGCTTTAGTAATAATTTCTCAGTGGCTAATGTAGCTTGTATCTAATTGCTGTTGTTATGTACAGAGTGTACATTTTCAAACTAATCTCTCTCCCTATTTGCAACACCTACCTGTAAGCAGATTGTGATTTAATTTTCACCTTTCATTAAACAGTGGGGGAGTATTACCCCCCACTCTGTCTGTTTGCGGACCTTGACTTTGTAAGAACTGCAACAACCCTACAATAAAGTTAAACCAGAAGCACGGCTAATTTCACACACTCTTAGACATCGGTGTATGATTTGCAACACAGACACCGTTACAAACGTACAAGGAGAGGTAGAATAAAAGAAAAGGTAAAATGATTAATTACCTTTTAAGTTTTTGAAATAGGAATCAATTTAGGGTCAGTGTTGCTGCAAATCACTGTTGTTAACAGAATCAATCCCCACCCTCCTCCAAGTCATAGCTACAAAAGTAAAGTCCCCTGCCTGTAAGAAGCAGCCAGCAATCTATATTTGTATTCTCTGCAAGTAAAACTGAGTGAAGCAAAAGTTACATTTGAGAAAAAGCTCCCACTCCTCCACTACAGGTTAGCCAATCAACAATTCTTACCAAAGAAGTCAGAGCACTAACTCCAGTTTTGGACTTTTGGACTCCACCTTAAAAGCAAGGACATTATTAAATGGTGTCCAAGGTGTTGGTCTTTAAGATTAACAATGTCCTTGTTTTTAAGGTAACCAGCAGGTAAGTGACAAGTCATTAATATATCTTGTAGGATGGGTCTAAACTGCAGTTCTGTTGCAACTGGAAACAGTTGTCTTTGTGGTAAGTTATAACGTAATAGTTGGCATTCTCAATCCATCATGAGGTAATGGTGTGCTGAAAGGTTGTTGCTCAGTCTTGTCACATGATTACAGTGGCCATCTTTGTTGAACTGTTTAATGTGCTCTTAAAACTGTCACAATGTATACATGTATTAAAGTTGGTTTTTACTCCATTCGTGACACTACTATAGAATAAACCACAGCTTGTTAAGACAAGAGCTCTTGTTAACATTCACTGGAAACCAATAGAACCTTAGAACCAGTCAAGGAGAGAGGATGGGTGGCAACATCCATCTCCCCACAAATACCACATGAACCTGTCAGGAGCACAATCTGCCACCTTCACCACAAGTAGGAGAGTGATTCAGTTCAGCCATGTACAGTGCAATGTCCTTTTTCACTCAACTACCTGTAGAGACATGCAGCAACCAATGGCAATGGGACAGAAAATGGAAGACCCAAATTTGTGACTTAAAAGAACAGTATCGTTGCTTTTCTATTGTGCTGTGCATTTAGTCTAAAATGAAATAAATAAGGTAGATAGCCCCTGCTAGCAGTCTCCAAGAATATTATCAATTGACTTCCTGAAGACACGCTGTAATACAATTACAGGACCCAAAACTAGAAAATGGAATAAACAATGTGTGGTTGAGACGAATGCAACCCTTTAACAAACTGCTATATTCTTCATACTCTGTGGCAAAATAAAACAAATTATTGTGAGAAGTAAATTGTTGCCAGAAGTAACATTTTAACTTAACTGTACAGTTTTAGATTATTTAATCACATGACATTTTGATGCAAAAACCTTGATTCATATCAGATATTAAACAGATAATGACTGCATGAAAGTTTGCCAAGTTCCAAAGTTCTCCCAAGCAAATAACACCATTACAGTTAACATTACATAACATTAAACAGCTCACCTGCAACTCATTCAGCTTCTTCATTAACTCCTGTAAATAACCAGACACACACATAAAAATCATAGACTTGAGAAAAAAAATCTTAGTGCAGAAAGCAACAAAAATTTGCAACAACATAGAACTGTCCTTCCTTGCCTGTACCCAGACTCCTTTCTCGACACTGGCAGCAATCTGGTCTCTTCCATATCACCATTCCTCATGCATGAGGTTGTGTCCTGGACAGTTACTTGAAAGGCTTCTCATGCAAACTCTCTGCTTGCATTCTGTCACAATAGCTCACTGAGTGACTTGAGAAATTGCAACTTTTCTTTTTGTCACCTCCCAAAGTCGTACAATAATTGAATTTCACTCCAGGTGGGAAAGCAGTATAGCAGGTGGAATTTGCCTTCAGGAGTGACAGCAGGCAGGTCTGATATATCTTGGGCTCCATTTGGATACCTCAATTCATGACCAAAGCTGCTGGGAAGCTGAAAAGCAACGGTCTGGCTGCTAAAACCAGAGGGAACAATGACCAGCACCAAAGGAAGTATTTTGGTTGGAGAAGGGACACGAAAATGTGCCAGTCAGAGGAAGAATCCAGAGCAGAGGAGACTTAAAGCTTCCTTGTCAATCTCAAAGAAGCAAGGCTCCTCCTCCTTGTCTAAAAGGAAACTAAAATTGTGATGAACAACATGAATGAATGGGCCTGTTCTCTTCCTAACTCTGATTCCTTGCAGTTTTGCCCAGCAAGGAGAACACCAATGTCCCCTTGCTCAGGTCTCAGGTCACCATTATAAGTTGAGTCCCATCTGTTTTCCAGGCTGAGATTTGCCAACAGCAGAGAGCAAGATTTAACCTGACATCTTGCCTATAACTGTACAGGACACTGCTTTTACATACTGAGCTTCAAAGTCATTTGCTTCATAAAGACATACAAAGGACCAACAGTTGAATCCAGTTTTTCTGACTCAGAATTTAATACTATGTCATCATTCTCTTCATTTGCCTGCTGGTCCATCAGGAAAGCTAATGTTTGATTTTATGACTGTACCCTTTGTGCAGCAGGTTACTAGACAGACACACAGAGTGTATAACATCTTTTGAAACATTTTTAAGAAGCAGTGCATAAATTTCTATTGAATTTTAAGAATTGTTATTGGAGACAGTGGTTCTTCCAATCCTACCCATCTCCATCAACCCCTCCCTTATTTCCCAACCCCGGTCCCAGGTGGAAAAGTTGGGGAAGGTTTGCCTCTGACAGGCCAGGAAGTCATGCTCAGATTTAACAACAAGTAGGGTTGTTAACCAGCTGAGCTTGTCGCTTCTGTCCCAAGTTGGAGGATATCCCAAACCACTATGCCCTGAGCTGCCGGTCGATCAGATAGAAGAGGCAGAATACCGTGAAGACAGGGTGGTTTTGCTGGAAGTGGAAATGCAGGCACCAGCGAGGGTCTGGGGGCCACAATTGAGATCTTAATGGGGGACAAAAAGGGATGGCAACTGCGGTTCATAAGGAGTTGTGGAGGTAGTGTCCTCTGTTGCATACAAGGTGCTAAACCCTGCAACAGTAGGAGGAGGAGACTTTCAAGTAGCCATTAACTGGTTAGTTAAGGGCCTCAAATGACTCAAACATGGGCAAGCCATGTGACAACTGACTCACTCACTGGTAAAATTCCAGAGGAGATGCTGCTATCATGCCACTCTATTTCATGGATCCCTGGCATCTGCCCCTCAAAAACTGGCCACCTCTCCTGGGATGGCTGCAGCTCCAGCTTGTTTGTCTTCTTTTAAAGCAATTATTGAAGAATTGCCCAGGACACAGCTTCCCAAAGTGTGGGTCAGGACTCCAAGAGGGGTTGCAAGCTGGAATTTTGAGGTGGTGAACTCTGAGGCAGCAACGTACACCGTGGAGACTGACTGAGTTATTCTGGCTCCTCTCCCGTTCTGACAGTCCTCACTGAGGGGCTGTGACATTGTTCAAGCCTCGAAATAGGACCACACAGGGAATGAGTTTGGGAAGCATTGTCCTAAGAACCCAGCTGAAGTTTATGCACAAAACCATTTCCTGATAATCAATAACACATGGAAATAAAAATAAATGGCTTGCATGCAAAATTTTGATGACTTACACAACCATATTTTGCAAACAGCCCCAGAAAAGCAATAGTTTTGAGATGTAACTCTAGGCAGTGCTGTCAAATTTTATTTCAAGCTGCCAGCTCTTCCTGGGAGATACGCACACATCAAACAACAGCAGGCCACATTGCTTACGCGTAGTGAGTGGCTGCAGGTCCAACAGCACTGGCTATATTTGCTTTTGGGGTGCTAACTACTATTTCACCACAAGCAATGTTACTTAGTTGAATCATAGGTACCTCCAAAGGAGTACTTTGTATTATGGTACTGCCACTGAAGCCAGTGCAGCTTTTTGAATCTTCCAGTACATGTACAATACTGCAGGCTTTTTTAAAACCATTTTACCAGAATGTCTGGGCTTCCTGCAAGTGAGTCCACAATCCAGCCAATGTTTGAGGAGAGCTGGAGAAGATGTCTTCTTGTTTGACTGTGTTTTGGAATAACACAATTTATTCCAATAACAACAAAAGTTAGTTACTAGGGGCTTTGAGGAACAATTAATGTAATTTACATGTCTACTGGCTAACCCCTGGGCAGGAAAGGTTGTCAATTGCTATAACCCCTTGTCCCAGAGACAAGCCAAAAGTCAAGTTGGTACGTTCTGCTGGAACAAAATAGTAGAAGGACTTGAGCAATCTATCTTAAGAGCTCTGATTGTCTGCTTCATTAATATTTTTAACCCAAAAATGATGGTCATGAGGCAACGCGTAAATTTTTACATTGCAAGTAGCAACTGAATTTATGTTGAAAAACGACTATAGCTGATATTCTATGCATGATATTCATTCACGCATGAGTGCTGTGGCTAAAGGCAGGTCTTCGGCTCCTTCCGGCTGAGCTTTCAGCCTGAGTTATTTTCATGGCAGTTTTATTTTTTTGTTGATGGTGGATGCTGTTGCTTTCCATTCGCACGGACAGGCCAAGGAGGCAGATCCCTAGTCTACCCAATCCAGGTCAGGAATGTGGGCATTATTGTGAATCACATGCTAGCTAAGTCAACCAGCCCTTTACATGTTATTTCATTCTTATTTCATATTTACCTGCGTATCAGTCTTTTGGACGATTGGAAAGATTGATGGGAAAGATTGCAGTGCTTAGTTCACAGAGCTGACAGATCTCATTCTTACAGCTCTGGGCCATGTGGTTCTCTGTTTAGAGCTTAGTTATTTCAAAGAAACTCCTGGTCATTATTGACATGACCTTTACCTACTGGAAAGACAAATGATGCATGGTGCAGGGAAATTCTAGAACAGACCCAAAAGTGAAAATAGCATGCAATAAAACTTCAATATTATTAAAACTCAAATGCACAACTGGGAGAAAACCTGAAATGTAAAAACAAAACGGTGCTATTGTCATTAAAGGCAGTGGTACTCTCAATGATCAGGAATTCATTTCCTGCCTCCAACTGAGAGTGCTGAGTGGCTAAATGAATAGGCTGGCAGAATTTTGAATCAGGTCAGCCAAACTCAGTCAAATTGCAGACTAGTTTGGAATAATGATGACATCTATAGTGTGACAGCTGGGCTCAGTTGGTAATACTCTTGCTTCTGGGTCAGAGGTTTGAGGTTTCAAGGTCTACACAAAGCCTTCAGTAAACAATGCAGCCCTGTATTAGCTGCTTGATCAGGGTGGTCTGGCACTAACAAAAGATATTCAGAGCATTCTTCCCGTCCAACATCTTTCTCTTAATCAATCTGTACTGACCATTCTTCTTGTCATTTGTGGGCATTTGCTGTCATGTCTGCTACAATATTCCAGAAAAGTAGTCTAACATGCGGGAACTTCCAAATGTTTCAACAATGCCATAAGATTCTACATCAACCTAACTAGCCTTCCTGACATTTTCTTCAAATATAAAAGTGAAGGTCAACTAGATCCATAAGTGGGAACAAAAACTTTGCCAATGAGCACTGAGATAACTAGGTGTAAAGTTTGATGAACACAGCAGGCCAAGCAGCATCAGAGGAGCAAGAAAGCTGACGTTTCGGGCCTAGACCCTCCTTCAGAAATGGGGGAGGGGAAGGAGATTCTGAAATAAATAGGGAGACGGGGGAGGCGGATAAAAGATGGATAAAGGAGAAGATAGGTGGAGAGGAGACAGACAGGTCAAAGAGGCGGGGGTGGAGCCAGTAAAGGTGAGTGTAGGTGGGGACTTAGGGAGGGGATAGGTCAGTGCAGGGAGGACGGACAGGTCAAGGAGGCGGGAAGAGGCTGGTAGGTAGGAGATGAGGGTAGGGCTTGAGGTGGGAGGAGGGGATAGGTGGGAGGAAGGACAGGTTAGGGAGGCGGGGACAAGCTGGGCTAGTTTTGGGATGCGGTCAGGGGAGGGGGGTTTTGAAGCTTGTGAAGTCCACATTGATACCATTGGGCTGCAGGGTTCCCAAGCGAAATATGAGGTACTGTTCCTGCAACCTTCGGGTGGCATTGTTGTGGCACTGCAGGAAGCCCAGGATGGACATGTCGTCTGCGGAATGGGAGGGGGAGTTGAAATGGTTCGCGACTGGGAGGTGCAGTTGTTTAGTGCGAACCGAGCGTAGGTGTTCCGCAAAGCAGTCCCCAAGCTTCTGCTTGGTTTCCCCGATGTAGAGGAGGCCACATCTGGAACAGCGGATACAGTATACCACGTTAGCAGATGTGCAGTTGAACATCTGCTTGATGTGGAAGGTCTTCTTGGGGCCTGGGATGGGGGTGAGGGGAAAGGTGTGGGGGCAGGTGTAGCACTTCCTGCGGTTGCAGGGAAAAGTGCCGGGTATGGTGGGGCTGGAGGGGAGCGTGGAGCGGACAAGGGAGTCACGGAGAGAGTGGTCCCTCCGGAAAGCAGATAAGGGTGGGGAGGGAAAGATGTCTTTGGTGGTGGGGTTGGTGGGGTCGGATTGCAGATGGCGGAAGTGTCGGAGGATGATGCCTTAGATCCGGAGGTTGGTGGGGTGGTACGTGAGGACGAGGGGGATTCTGTTTTAGTTGTTATTGCGGGGAGGGGGTGTGAGGGATGAGTTGCGGGAAATGCGGGAGACACGGTCGAGGGCGTTCTCGACCACTGAGGGGGGCAAGTTGCGGTCCTTGAAAAACGAGGACATCTGAGATGTGCAGGAGTGGAATGCCTCATCCTGGGAGCAGATGCGGCGGAGGAGAAGGAATTGGGAATAGGGGATGGCATTTTTGCAGGAAGGTGGGTGGGAGGAGGTGTATTCTGGGTAGCTGTGGGAGTTGGTGGGCTTGAAATGGGTATCGGTTGCCAGAGATGGAAACAGAGAGGTCCAGGAAGGAGACAGAGGTATCAGAGATGGTCCAGGTGAGCAAGGGGTCTGTTGTTGTCAAAATCAGATCAATTCTGTAAATATGTGATTTATCAGCTACCCTAATGATCCAATGAGTTCATTCAGTGAATTGTTGCAATATGTTGACTAGAAAGTTCCCAGGTTCAGTCCTGGTCTATGCTAAGTTGTCTGATCTCACTTGAAGCAACTCCATGTAGCTTGGTTACGTTTAGGAAAAAACAAGTGGAATTTGACGTTCATGAAGAGAACCTTGTGTGAATATTTGGTAAAAATCAAATGTATTGGTGATGTCCCTGTGGTCAAACAGCCTAATGATGCTTAAAGATCACATATGAAGTACAACCTATATTTTGAAAGATTGTCTGAAGGTTGTGAAGCTTCGCCATGTCAAAGTTAATTCACTGACATATCTCACCAAATGTATGGTTCTGCAATATGTGAAGAACATACAGTCCCACTACAGCAGAGATTCAACAACTTTGTGAAACATGGTGAGAGATAAAAAATACTTAAAAATACAACCAAATGGAATCAGCAAATTGACATACAAATAGCATAAATCAGTGATCTCATTATAACTCTATTAATCAATATGCCCCAAGTATCTTTACACATTTGAATTAGCATTCAAATTAACCAACGAACAGTAGTTAAGAGTTTCAAGTTTAACCAGATGACAATTTCAAAACGCTGAGTTTCACCTGATTTTTAAAAAGTGTTACATAAAAAGATCAGATACATAAATCACTTATTACCATGAACCAACTGAAATTCTGGAATTTTAATTCATGTAGAACAGACAATATGAAGCATGGTATTGTGACATTGATGCACCTATTTCCTAAAAGTTATCTGGTATAATTTCAGAATAGTGTGTAATTGACATACCCGTGATTTCGGACCTGGTACTTCCGTTTTCATCAACGGTCCATCAAACTCAACATCCACGTCTGTCTTGTTCGCCGGCTGACTAACATATCGAGATCCTTTACAAAATTAAACATAATAGTCTCTTGCACTGAGGTGTAAAAAGCATAACTAACAATAATATATATAAAAATGCATGCAAGAGCAGACAATATTTGGGATTTGATCGTTTCCATGTTATATTTTATGATTTTGAATGCAACCACCCAGGTGTATGTACTTTTTGTGGGACGGAAAGAGAAATGTAATTTGAAAGAGATGCTCATTCTGCCACGACACGTAATGATGGAAAGCTGATTGAACTGCACTGATGGCAGCAGCTTTGCAATGCGTGGTTCTGACACCTCTTGAAGTTCGGAAACACAACGAAAGCAAAAAGTTTTAACAGGAACCTGCTGACGAACTACAGCCTCCAATACAAACATAAATGTAAAAGATGCAGCAAACAGTATCAATTATGTTGTTTAGACACTGGCCTCCGCCACATCATCAGGTGAGTTGCAATTCACAAACCGGAAAATTTCAATTTTTATGCAGCGTGTGGTAACAACCTGGAATTCAGGGCCAATGAGAAGTGGAGAAAATCAATGATTTCAAAAGGAAATTGGGTGGGCATTTGAGGAAAATAAAATTTCAAGGATACTGGGACAGAGTGCGGAAATGTTCCTGATGGACTCTACAGGACCAGAAGGTAGAATGACCCACTTCTACATAGCTGATGGATGGGAGGCTATGGAATGGGTTGGGATGGAAGGGTGGGTGGTGAAGACCTGTTACAGTCTTATTTTCTGTGTAAGCTGAGGGCTTCCCACAGGTCAGACAACTTGGGATCAACTCCAGATCAACTGCATTCGGCAAATGGAAACATTACAGATTGAACTTCCGTCAAATTCCGAATCTTATTGGAACATAATGGACAAAAACAGAAAAAAAAACAAATTATTGCTTTTTCTTGAGGGATAAATGGAAACTCTTAGTGGGCAAATGTATGACCTGGTACAGTGCTAATAGAAACTTGTAGATTCCCAGTTCAGTTGTAACTGTTCTGACCAATTTGGACTCGTGATTGCCACCTACTGAGCATTGCTAGACACTGCATGTCCATGACACATGGGAAAGTGAAAAGAATCCAGATTTCCTGGTTTCCTCAGTTAATTTTGTGATGTTTTACCATGACTAATTGTTTCTCTTCCATTTTGCAAAAACTATAAACTGGTGTCATCTAGTATTAAACAAATCACATGACAGACATTTCTTTATCATGAACATACTATTAAACAGTATCTAATGAAAAGATATTTTTAACAGTTCTGGAGCCTTTCTTATCCACATCATGTGCTTTAGAAATTCTACACCTTACAGTTGTTTGCAAATTAAATGACTACAATACGTTAAACCACTCCTTGTCCCCAGTGGCAGAGCTGCTTTAGGTGCTGGATGATTGGATACTGATAAAACCTTTTTCTTCCTAAAGAATAGGGGCAAATGGGATCAAAGGTTATGGGGAGAAAGCAGGATTAGGCTATCAAGTTGGACGATCAGCCATGATCGTGAAGAATGGTGGAGCAGGCTCGAAGGGCTGAATGGCCTCTTCCTGCTCCTATCTTCTATGTTTCTATGTAATACTAATTGGGTAAGGTACCAAAGAGCTGCTGGCAAGGCTGGCACAGTTTCCCAAAAAGGAGAGAAAATGCAAACAGATAAAGAGGAAGTATCAATTATTTTTTGAGTTTAGAAGATCGGCTATTTTTAAAATAATTTGTAACAAATATTTTTTATGTGGTTATTGCAGTTTATTTTCTTGTGAAGCTCTTTATTAATCTATACTGTAATGTGACTTACCCAGCAATCTGTTCTGGGTTACTTCAATACATAAGTTGAAAAAATAGAAATTGCTTCCATTATGAGTTAAAGCATTACTAGAACCTGCACCGTTGCAGGCACTCGAATCACCTTCCATTTCATCTGGAGGTCCAAGATGGACCATGTCCGCAAGGACACCATTGACAAAACTCTGGATGGTGGGGGGAAGGACATACCCAATGCCACCCTCATCCTGATAAGCCACCTTTGTATGCAGCTGCACCAAGCTGTGCATAGACCCTCGGTACTCAAACACTAAATGTCACTTCACTCTGAGGTTCTACCTGTCCCCGATGTTGCAAAGGGCAGGCCTGGCCTCGTTGCTGCAGAACACACCAAGTGTTGGACCATTCCATATCACCTGCCCTTCACGGAGAAATTTGCAAAGAAAAACACCTTTGCCCACAAGTCGGTGATCAGCATGCAGCATCCTCGAGCCCTTGTGGGTAAAGGGGAGGATGCATCCTGTCCAGTTCTTCCTTGAGCAGACTGTCAAAGTCATTTGGCAGAACGTCTCATCGCCAGAATTTTCCAACAAGCACCAAGACATCGCTTGGCTGGTGGTGAGAAGGGCCTGACCTGTGAGATCCTTCAGGTACGCCCAGATGCTCTGCTCCATGGCACGCTGCCCTTGAAGCGGATATGGGGGGGGGGGCTACAGACTGTCACACATCTCCTGCTGGAATGTGCCTTTGCAAAGGAAGTCTGGAGAAAGATGAACGGTTTTTGTCGAGGTTCATCCTGAGCAGCGCCGTGACTCAGGGCTCTGTTCTCCAGAACGCACACTGAGACAAACATCGACTGCACCTGGAGGACAATCAACTCGGTGAAAGAGGCTCTTTAGTCTGCCCAAAACTTGTTGGTCTTCCAGAGCAAGGAGTTGACTTCAACTGAGTGTTGCAGACTGGTAGATTCCAAGGTCCTGAGGGATGTACTAAAGCTTGGGGAAGCTGCTGCCAAGGCGTAGTGGGGAAAGTCTCCCCGCCAAAGTTAAATGGAGGTGGTTCAATTATCAGACCTCTGGTGCCCCAAACATATGTAAATACAGTATTGTACAAATAAGAAATGCCTTTGGTTTGTTTACTGGATAGAGTCAAACTCTAATGTTTGTTTGTTTCTTCATATGCTACTGTACAGAGCCAAACTGCTTCAGTGATTACATATGCATACAAAGATATTTTTAGGAATAAGGGATATTTTTAAACCTAAAGAAATGCTCAATAAAGTACTAAAAATGTCTCAGCTGAACTATAAGTATCATGGGATGCTGGAATGGCTCAGTGTCATGGTGACTGTAAAACATAAGAGTGTTTGAACTCATATTTAATCCCCTCCCATTTTACATTCTTTTTACCTCTCAGTTTACTCTGAGACACAGTTCAATGCCACAAGTGATTTAAGCCCCTGTTAAAGAGTTAATGAAACAATATGCAACAAATAACTTCAATAGGTTTCTAAAAGGCAGATTGTGCTTCTATTGCTCTCACATTACCACAATTTCTGCGAGTGAAATAAAATGCTTTGTTTAGCAGTGATCCAGTGACAACCACCATACACATAGAAAGCTCTTCCTGCAATAACAACAATGTACTAGCCCAGGCTATATAACCCATTCCATATGTGCATTCACATTGCAAATGTACAAACATACATATACATACAATCAAGAATTTTACTGTACAAAAATATGTCAATAATATTGGCTTCTTCATAGAACGGTACATTACAAATAAGTTTTGTTGTAATAATTTAAGAGAAATCAATGTAAATATATTTTCCTTCAAGTTACTTGGTAATTATAATAGCAACATTAGAGTACACTTAATCTCTTACACAACAGCTATTTCTGTGAAGTGACTACTTTCATATCAAATTAAGTTTCTCAGAAAACTGAAAACCCCAAGACATTATGTGGCTGCTTCCAGGAAGGCTACGTCTGCTGAGCATAATCGTGTGACTCAAGAAATCAAATCCTTGCCCATTAATTTTGGATGTATGCAAGCATATTTTAAATAAAGCTAATAAAATAATGCCTAAACTTCATTCTCGGTACCCTTTCTTTGTGATCAATTAAAAATACTTCAATAATCCAGCATAACCAGTGCAATACAGTCTTGCAGAAGAGGTATGTAGTAAACATTGCCAGAAAGCTGAGTCTTAATCTATGTGTGGTTTATAATTAGAATCTAAGAGCTTCAACCATCCTGGGCTTGTAGAGTTAGTGGAGATAAGGAAAAGTGTAACATTGGTTAGGTGGGACAATGCATGTGTTTTGTGCATGACCTGACCAAAGCAATGTAGAGGTCTGGTAAAAATAAACATGTGATTTGTGAAAGTAAGGGGCATATAAAAATAGGTTTGACTTTTTTAATGTAGGAAAGTTGAACAGTATCAAGATTTCAAAATAGAATTAAAAACAAACTTTATCCATGGAACATACTGTTAGGACGCCACAAAAGTTTCAAACAATGTGTAACTCAGTCTGCAGATCAGGGTTCTCAAGGTTCAGCCTCTCATGTGTGCTAGTTTAGCTTATTTCATCTGGACAAGCAGTAGGGAGGCTCCAACTAGCGTTAATGTCCTTGGCCTGGTAGAAGAACCAAAGGATCGAGAAGCTCAGGTTCAAGTCCCACCTGCTCCAGAGGTGTGCAATAACATCTCTGAACAGGTAGGTTAGAAAAATAGGTGAAATTTAAAAAAAAACAGAAGAACTAAAGGAGGATTAAACATTATAGATAAATAGTGATGGATAGATTTTCAATGGGGAAGGATTGAGTTTGTCAGTGACATCCCCATCCATAATGGAGATTCCATTTAAGGGCACAGATAAGGAATTTTGGGGAGGTCTGTTGGCTACTGTGAACGAAAAACCAAACATGAATCACTGCCATCAGGAACAAAAAGTAAAAAAAAAAGGTATTCTATCATAAATACAAGGGTAGCTCAATAAAATGCTCATTCTCCAAATCTAAGGACACAAGAAACAGGAGCAGGAGTGGATTATACAGACTGCATTCATGTGGATCATGTCTGATCTTCTGCGCCAATTTAACTTAGCCACCCATTCCTCTTTGATTTCCCCAGACATCAAAAATCTGTCCACCTCTGCCTCAAATACATTTAACAATGGAGCAGTTTCTGGTATAGAGTAATCCAAAGATTCACAACATCTGAGTGAAGAAATTTCTGCTCATAA